CCTTATGTTGATTACATTTTGCTGACTTTCTGCGAATCCAATAAGTTTTCCATGTTGATTCAATGCCATCACATTAAATGTTTTTATTGAAATGACATGGAAATGTTGATTCAACCAGCTTTTGGCCAGTGGGATGAGTGGTTGCAAGACAGTCTTTTTCAGTAATGGATGCCAACTTGTCTGGCCCAAATGTCTAACAAACACCTTGATGTCAACTCACAGGCTTTGACCGGGGATCACCTCTACTCTCTGAGATTAAGTTTGACTTCAAAGTAACACGCTGAAAGGCCAAACCTCTCAACCAAGTGAGACAACAATTAAGCTGCTTGCTGCACAAGTCAGACCACACACATCTATCTAAAGCCTGTGGAAGAGGAAAAGTCACTAATGTCATTATGGGGGCCTCAGCCAAAATACAGGTAAACTTTCAAAATAAAGAAGGGTCATCCCATCATGCTTAGGGTCATGTATAAAAATGCCCAGTTGCCCATATTTTGGCTTACATGGGTAAAAGAAGAGATCTCAGTGACTTTGAAAGAGGGATCTCAAAGGAGCATAGGGGGGTTAAAGGGGTGGTGTGTGTGTCTCAGTCACCAGATCTCCACCCAACTGAAAACTTATGGGAGATTCTGGAGCGTTGCCTGAGACAGCGTTTTCCACCACCATCAACAAAACACAAAATTATGGAATTTCTCATGGAAGGATGGTGTCGCATCCCTCCAGTAGAGTTCCAGACGCTTGTAGAATCTATGCCAAGGCGCATTGAAGCTGTTCTGGCAGCTCGTGGTGGCCCAACACCCTATTAAGACACTTTATGTTGGTGTTTCCTTTATTTTGGCAGTTACCTGTATCTAAACTCTATCTTACAGTATAGCTAACGGTACATGACTGCCTGGAAATACCAAATATAAGGACATCTACACACCAAATACAAAAACACATTTATATCAACAACAGACTGGTGACTGGTCAGAGGTAGAAAAGAGAACAGCAGCAGCGAGCGAGTGAGCGATAGAGCGAGGAGGAGAGAGGGGTGTACCAGACTAATGGACAACATTCTCCTTCCTGTGCTCAGGGGGTGGGAGGCCTAGGCTGAGTGGATCACTCATCTCCAGGCTCTCCCCTGGGCAGGGCAGGCGGCTCTGGCCTTTATGTTGGTGTTTGCCTCCCTACCCTAGTTGGCCCCCATCTCACTGGAAGCCCTCACTGGAGAGACATCTCCCCTCACAGCTCCAAGTGAGAATATGACTGTTATGTAAGAAAATAATAGAAAAGAAAGGCAGCCTGCATGTGGCATAAATTATACTGTACGTGGTATCACTTTATTTTGAGTGTCCCTCAGGTTTACAGTTTTGCCAATTATGTTTACTCAAGCAAAAACCAACCACATACAGGGTAAGAGGAAGTGCTGAGAGATAAGCGCAGGTATGCACATACACGCACTGCATGCTCAAATTTCACAATTATAGACAGACATATGCCAATGAAAATAGACACTACAAACACACAGACTGAACTGAAGAAAATAATCGCACGGAAGCGGATTGTCTGTCACATGTACACATCCAAAATCCAACTCCAAAAAACTAATAATTATGCATCCAGCTTGTCAGAAACCCAGAAAGAGACGCATGCAGACAAAGACATAAAGTATTCTATCACATTCTACAGGCTACTACTACATAGACCAGAAACATATGGCATGCCACATATACAACACTACTAAACAGTGCTCGCAAAGCAAAGTTATGTCATGTAGGGGATGTTCAGTGACAGTAGCTTGCTCTTATGTTATACTCCACCTAGTGGATGTATCCAAACCGTACATGAAATTGCCATAATATCATGTACTTGCATGGCTTTTCACTTTCCTTGGGAATGGTAACCAGACCGGAGTCAAAACATGAGCATGAGTATTAGAAAATGCTATTTCAAGTTATTGGAATTTGTCCAATAAATTATATCAGGTAGTGTAGTTACTTAAGAAAATAAACAAATCTTTAGAAAATAACAAATAAAAACAAATCTGACAGCAATTCTGTTGTCCAGAAATTTATTTACACATTTAACTAGTGGCCATTTACAAAATATAATCTTTTTTTACATTACATTTTATATACAGTACCCGTAAGGCATATGAAAACTGTACAATTGTAAAATGGACAAAAACAAGCTGAATTATTATTTTACATGAAGCAATGCTGCAACTTAAATAGTATGCACAGACTAACGTCAATCTAAAAAGAAAGTAAATCATTAGACATACAAGCACAGTACCAGTCAAAAGTTTGGACACCTAGAGTCGTGGTCAAAAGTTTTGAGAATGACACAAGTATTGGTCTTCACAAAGTTTGCTGCTTCAGTGTTTTTAGATATTTTTGTCAGATGTTACTATGGTATACAGAAGTATAATTACAAGGATTCCATAAGTGTCAAAGGCTTTTATTGACAATTATATTAAGTTTATGCAAAGAGTCAACATTTGCAGTGTTGACCCTTCTTTTTCAAGACCTCTGCAATCCGCCCTAGGATGCTGTCAATTAACTTCTGGGCCACATCCTGACTGATGGCAGCCCATTCTTGCATAATCAATGCTTGGAGTTTGTCAGAATTTGTGGGTTTTTGTTTGTCCACCCGCCACTTGAGGATTGACCACAAGTTCTCAATGGGATTAAGGTCTGGGGAGTTTCCTGGCCATGGACCCAAAATTTCGATGTTTTGTTTCCCGAGCCACTTAGTTATCCCTTTTGCCTTATGGCAAGGTGCTCCATCATGCTGGAAAAGGCATTGTTCGTCACCAAACTGTTCTTGGATGGTTGGGAGAAGTTGCTCTCGGAGGATGTGTTGGTACCATTCTTTATTCATGGCTGTGTTCTTAGGCAAAATTGTGAGTGAGCCCTCTCCCTTGGCTGAGAAGCAGCCCCACACATGAATGGTCTCAGGATGCTTTACTGTTGGCATGACACAGGACTGATGGTAGCGCTCACCTTGTCTTCCCCGGACAAGCTTTTTTCCGGATGCCCTAAACAATTGGAAAGGGGATTCATCAGAGAAAATGACTTTACCCCAGTCCTCAGCAGTCCAATCCCTGTACCTTTTGCAGAATATCAGTCTGTCCCTGATGTTTTTCCTGGAGAGAAGTGGCTTCCTCGCTGCCCTTCTTGACACCAGGCCATCCTCCAAAAGTCTTCGCCTCACTGTGCATGCAGATGCACTCACACCTGCCTGCTGCCATTCCTGAGCAAGCTCTGCACTGGTGGTGCCCCGATCCCGCAGCTGAATCAACTTTAGGAGATGTTGCTGGCGCTTGCTGGACTTTCTTGGGCGCCCTGAAGCCTTCTTCACAACAATTGAACCTCTCTCCTTGAAGTTCTTGATGATCCGATAAATGGTTGATTTAGGTGCAATCTTACTAGCAGCAATATCCTTGCCTGTGAAGCCCTTTTTGTGCAAAGCAATGATGACGGCACGTGTTTCCTTGCAGTTAACCATGGTTAACAGAGGAAGATCAATGATTTCAAGCACCACCCTTCTTTTAAAGCTTCCAGTCTGTTATTCTAACCCAATCAGCATGACAGAGTGATCTCCAGCCTTGTCCTCGTCAACACTCTCACCTGTGTTAACGAGAGAATCACTGACATGATGTCAGCTGGTCCTTTTGTGGCAGGGCAGAAATGCAGTGGAAATGTTTTTTTGGGATTAAGTTCATTTTCATGGCAAAGAGGGATTTTGCAATTAATTGCAATTAATCTGATCACTCTTCATATCATTCTGGATATGAAGAGTGAGCTTGTAACGCCAAGGTAGTGGGTTCGATCCCCGGGACCACCCATACACAAAAAATGTATGCACGCATGACTGTAAGTCGCTTTGGATAAAAGCGTCTGCTAAATGGCATATTATTATTATTATTATTATTGAGTATATGCAAATTGCCATCATAAAAACTGAGGCAGCAGACTTTGTGAAAATTAATATTTGTGTCATTCTCAAAACATTTGACCACGACTGTACTCATTCAAGGGTTTTTCTTTATTTTGACAATTTTCTACATTGTAGAATAATAGTGAAGACATCAAAACTATGAAATACCACATATGGAATCATGTAGTAACCAAAAAAGTGTTAAACAAATGAAAATATAGTTTATATTTGAGATTCTTGAAAGTAGCCACCCTTTGCCTTGATGACAGCTTTGCACACACTTGACATTCTCTTAACTAGCTTCATGAGGTAGTCACCTGGAATGCATTTCAATTAACAGATGTGCCTTGTTAAAAGTTAATAATAATGCGTTTGAGCCAATCAGTTGTGTTGTGGCAAGGTAGGGGTGGTATACAGAAGATATACCTATTTGGTAAAAGACCAAGTCCATATCCTGGCAAGAACAGCTCAAATAAGCAAAGAGAAATGACAGTCCATCATTATTTTAAGACATGAAGGTCAGTCATTCTGGAAAATGTCAAGAACTTTGAAAGTTTCTTTGAGTGCAGTCACAAAAACCATAAAGCGCTATGATGAAACTGGCTCTGATGAGGACCGCCTCAGGAAAGGAAGACCCAGAGTTACCTCTGCTGCAGAGGATAAGTTCATTAGCGTTACCAGCCTCAGAAATTGCAGCCCAAATAAATGCTCCACAGAGTTCAAGTAACAGACACATCTCAACATCAACTGTTCAGAGGAGACTGCGTGAATCAGGCCTTCATGGTCGAATTGCTGCAAAGAAACCACTACTAAAGAACACCAATAAGAAGAACAGACTTGCTTGGGCCAAGAAACACGAGCAATGGACATTAGACCGGTGGAAATCTGTATTTTTTTTTTGGGGGGGGAGAAATACTGTATGTTTATACCATACATTAATACATATAAATATATACTACAGTATATAGGTACGCATGTTTAAGTTCATATTTACAAGCACTTAGTCGTGTAGGAATTTGTAATGATCTAAAAACAAAAAAAGACATGTACATTGAACAGCTGTACAGTGTAAAACGTTAGCTTCTTAGAGCTGGACTGTGGTTGACAATTTCCTTATTGCCATCCTTCATCAATGCAGAGAAGACCTAAAGGAAAGATGTACATGTAAAATAAAATAAGCATATGGTAGTTCTACACAAGTCCAGCAGAAGGCACTGTTGATACAAAAACACACCAAAAAACTCAAACATAAAAGCTCCCCTCTCCTCATCTCCTCCGCAAAAAACAGTGATCTTTAAAAATAGATGCTAAATGGTAAAGAACTACCCAGCTGTCTTCTCCCCTATAGGTTCATCAGTGAAAGATGAAGGGCAAAGGAAGCCATTGAAGAGCACTGCTACCCCCGTCTCAGCACAGATCAACTCAACACACAACTGACCTGGCTACACTTGCGATTGCTGCTGATCATGTGTGTTGCAGTGATGCAGCTGAACAGGTTGTCAGTGGCCATGTCCTCAGGCAGGCGGGTGAGGAACTGAGCGATGTGGATGAAGTCCATCTGAAGTAGGACCTCCTGGTAGAGGTGCAGGATTCCCCAGGCTTGTCCGGAACAGCCCCTCCTCCCCATCCCGACAGAACACGTCCTACACATGACATGCCACGTCTAACGGCAACGACTTACTGTACAGGGTGAAGATCCTGCCTGGATGGACCAAGACACACAGAGAGGTCAACAAGGGTCATTGGGGAGGTGAAGAGAATCACATGCAAGGGTCACTTTATGCATTGACAATGGAACAATAAATATAAATGGAAAAAGTCTGGAACAATTTCACTTTAGTTCAATGAGGGCAAGCACTGAAGTCTCATGTTGTCCTGCACTCACCAGTCTATGAGATAGAGATTAGGGGTGAGGTTGTTGATCTGAAAGTAATTGAACAGCCGGGGGAGGTTCTCTTCAAAGAACACGTCAAAAGCAGCAAAGTATTTCAACATCTATAAACAAGAGAAAAAGGTTTACAACATGGGTATAACATTTATTCAGCATTATCTCAGCACTATAGGGAGAGTATTACATCCAAATTAACGTCTTATCTTTTTACTTGAGTTTTATATTGTATGACATCGCATTTTAAGTAAACTCAGCAAAAAAAGAAACGTCCTCTCACTGTCAACTGCGTTTATTTTCAGCAAACTTAACGTGTAAATATTTGTATGAACATAACAACATTCAACAACTGAGACATAAACTGAACAAGTTCCACAGACATGTGACTAACAGAAATTGAATAATGTGTCCCTGAACAAAGAGGGTGTCAAAATCAAAAGTAACAGTCAGTATCTGGTGTGGCCACCAGCTGCATTAAGTACTGCAGTGCATCTCCTCCTCATGGACTGCACCAGATTTGCCAGTTCTTGCTGTGAGATGTTACCCCACTCTTCCACCAAGGCACCTGCAAGTTCCCGGACATTTCTGGGGGGGAATGGCCCTAGCCCTCACCCTCCGATCCAACAGGTCCCAGAAGTGCTCAATGGGATTGAGATCCGGGCTCTTCGCTGGTCATGGCGTTGAGATTGCCTGCAATGACAATAAGCTCAGTCCGATGATTCTGTGACACACCGCCCCAGACCATGACGGACCCTCCACCTCCAAATCGATCCCGCTCCAGAGTACACGCCTCGGTGTAACGCTCATTCCTTCGACGATAAACGCGAATCCGACCATCACCCCTGGTGAGACAAAACCGCGACTCGTCAGTGAAGAGCATTTTTGCCAGTCTTGTCTGGTCCAGCGACGGTGGGTTTGTGCCCATAGGCGACGTTGTTGCCAGTGATGTCTGGTGAGGACCTGCCTTACAACAGGCCTACAAGCCCTCAGTCCAGCCTCTCTCAGCCTGTTGCGGACAGTCTGAGCACTGATGGAGGGATTGTGCGTTCCTGGTGTAACTCGGGCAGTTGTTGCTGCCATCCTGTACCTGTCTCGTCCTCGGACGCTAGGAGGAAGGCCCTGCCACCACAGCTCTGTGACCTGACACGTGTTACGCCTGCCAGGGGACACAACAACACGCGTCTGTCATTGGAGAAGAAATGTAACAAACAGTGTTAAACCTATGGTAGAGTATCTGAATAGTATGTACATTTGACACCACAACCTCTTTCAGTCTCAGGTAATCATTTGTCTCAAATTAAGATAATGTTCAGTATGATTATTTGTGATAAATCAAGTGTTTGTGTTGGAAGATAAAATGCATTAAAATGTTACTGATCCCCTCAGTGTAATGAGTACTGACATGCAGTCCCAGTTGGGCAGGATGTCATTGTTCCAGATTACCATGGCGTTGGCGATGCTGTCCTCCTATTTAACCCTCTCCTTCATCTGACACTTCTTCCTATGGGCCTCCTTCAGCTCTGACAGGGAAAAGAGAGAGAAGGGGTTAAGTGTCTGTGCGTGTGGACAGTTAAAACAGTAGTTAGCACGTACCTTTCCTCTTGGCTCCTGCCACCATCTCATCATACTCCTGTTTGTGACGCAGGGCCTCCTCAACAGACTTGGCAGGAAGGTTCCTGAACAGAGGGGACGAGATGGATGCATTCAGAGAGATGTGTATGGTTTCGTCATACCGACTAACCCATTGTTCAACTACAGAGTATCAGGAACAGCATTTGCATTGTGTTTAGAATTAAATTAATTTTTTTATTTAACCTTTATTTAACCAGGTAAGCCAGTTGAGAACAAGTTCTCATTTACAACTGTGACCTGGCCAAGAAAAAGCAAAGCAGTGCGATAAAAACAACAACACAGAGTTACATATGGGGTAAAAAAATAAAATAAAAATAAGAATCATTAAAAAAAAAATACAACAGAAAATATATATACAGTGTGTGCAAATGTTGCAAGTTATGGAGGTAAGGCAATAAATAGCCTATAATGCTAATTAATTACAATTAGTATTAACACTGGAATGCTAGATGTGCAAGAGATTATGTGCAAATAGAGATATAATAATAATATAATATGCCATTTAGCAGACGCTTTTATCCAAAGCGACTTACAGTCATGCGTGCATACATGTTTTTTTTTTTTTTGTGTATGGGTGGTCCCGGGGATCGAACCCACTACCTTGGCGTTACAAGCGCCGTGCTCTACCAGCTGAGCTACAGAGGACCACTGGGGACCACTGAGCTACAGAGGAGATACTGGGGTGCAAAAGAGCAAAATAAATAACAATATAGGGATGAGGTAGTTGGGTGGGCTAATTTCAGATTGGCTGTGTACAGGTGCAGTGATCGGTAAGGTGCTCTGACAACTGATGCTTAAAGTTAGTGAGGGAGATAAGAGTCTCCAGCTTCAGAGATTTTTGCAATTCGTTCCAGTCATTGGCAGCAGAGAACTGGAAGGAATGGCGGCCAAAGGAGGTGTTGGCTTTGGGGATGACCAGTGAGATATACCTGCTGGAGCGCAGACTACGGGTGGGTGCTGCTATGGTGACCAATGAGTTAAGATAAGGCGGGGATTTGCCTAGCAGTGATTTATAGATGGCCTGGAGCCAGTGGGTTTGACGACGAACATGTAGTGAGGACCAGCCAACAAGAGCGTACAGGTCACAGTGGTGGGTAGTGTATGGGGCTTTGGAGACAAAACGGATGGCACTGTGATAGACTACATCCAATTTGCTGAGTAGAGTGTTGGAGGCTATTTTGTAAATGACATTGCCGAAGTCAAGGATCGGTAGGATAGTCAGTTTTACGAGGGCATGTTTGGCAGCATGAGTGAAGGAGGCTTTGTTGCGAAATAGGAAGCCGATTCTAGATTTAACTTTGGATTGGAGATTCTTAATGTGAGTCTGGAAGGAGAGTTTACAGTCTAACCAGACACCTAGGTATTTGTAGTTGTCCACATACTCTAGGTCAGACCCGTCGAGAGTAGTGATTCTAGTCGGGTTGGCGGGTGCCAGCAGCGTTCGATTGAAGAGCATGCATTTAGTTTTACTAGTGTTTAAGAGCAGTTGGAGGCTACTGAAGGAGTGTTGTATGGCATTGAAGCTCGTTTGGAGGTTTGTTACCACAGTGTCCAAAGAAGGGCCAGATGTATACAAAATGGTGTCGTCTGCGTAGAGGTAGATCTGAGAGTAACCAGCAGCAAGAGCGACATCATTGATATTCACAGAGAAAAGAGTCGGCCCAAGAATTGAACCCTGTGGCACGTTGCAGCGGAGGGTGCAGAGTTGGTGGCCGGGGTAGTGGTAGCCAGGTGGAAAGAATGTCCAGCCGTAGCAAAATGCTTGTTGAAATTCTCGATTATTGTAGATTTATCGGTGGTGATAGTGTTTCCTAGCCTAGCAACTTTACAGTGTCCCAAAACTTTTTGGAGTTAGTGCTACAGGATGCAAATTTCTGTTTGAAAAAGTTAGCCTTTTGCTTTCCTGACTGCTTGTGTATATTGGTTCTTAACTTCCCTGAAAAGTTGCTATTTGATGCTAATGCAGTACGACACAGGATGTTTTTGTGCTGGTCAAGGGCAGTCAAGTCTGAGGAGAACCAGGGGCTATATCTGTTCTTAGTTCTGTATTTTTTGAATGGGGCATGTTTATTTAAGATTGAGAGGAAATTACTTTTAGAGAACAACCAGGCATCCTCTACTGACGGAATGAGATCTATATCCATCCAGGATACCTGGGCCAGGTCAATTAGGAAGGCCTGCTCGCTAAAGTGTTTTAGGGAGCGTTTGACAGTGATGAGGGGTGGTCGTTTGACCGCGGACCCGTTGCGGACGCAGGCAATAAGGCAGTGATCGCTGAGATCCTGGTTGAAGACAGCGGAGGTGTATTTTAGTCAGGATGATATCTATGAGGGTACCCATGTTTACGGATTTAGGGTTGTACCTGGTAGGTTCGTTGATAATTTGTCTGAGATTGAGGGCATCTAGTATGGATTGTAGGATGGCCGGGGTGTTAAGCATATCCCAATTTAGGTCACCAAGCAGTACGAACTCTGAGGATAAATGGGGGGCAATCAATTCACATATGGTGTCCAGGGCACAGCTGGGGGCTGAGGGGGGTCTGTAGCAAGCGGCAACAGTGAGAGACTTATTTCTGGAAAGGTGGATTTTTAGAAGTAGAAGCTCAAACTGTTTGGGCACAGACTTGGATAGTATGATAGAGCTCTGCAGGCTATATCTACAGTAGATTGCAACTCCACCCCCTTTGGCAGTTCTATCTAGACGGAAAATGTTGTAGTTGGGGATGGAAATTTCAGAATTTTTCTTCCTAAGCCAGGATTCAGACACTACTAGAACATCAGGGTTGGTGGAGTGTGCTAACGCAGTGAATAACTCAAACTTAGGAAAGAGGCTTCTGATGTTAACATGCAGAAAACCAAGGCTTTTACAGTTACAGAAGTCAACAAATAATAGCTCCTGGGGAGTAGGAGTGATACTGGGGGCTGCAGGGCCTGGGTTAGCCTCTACATCACCAGAGGAACAGAGGAGGACTAGAATAAGGATACGGCTAAAGGCTTTAAGAACTGGTCTTCTAGTGCGTTGGGTACAGAGAATAAAGGGGGCAGATTTCCGGGCGTTGTAGAAAAGATTCAGGGCATTATCTACAGACAAGGATATGGAAGGATATGAGTACAGTGGAGGTAAACCTAAGTGTTGGGCAACAATGAAAGAGATAGCATCACTGAAGGCACCGATTGAGCCGGTCTCGGCGTGTATGGGGGGTGGAACAAAGGAACTATTTGAGGCAGTTTGAGAGGGACTTGGGGTTCTACAGTGAAATTGTATAATAAGAACTAACTGGAACAGTAATAGGCAAGGCATATTGACATGGGAGAGAGGCATAAAGCAATCACAGGTGTTATTAGAGAGAGCTAAGACAACAACTGGTAATGGCGATAAAGTTTGGGCTGAGGCTAAACAGATAAACAGGACAGGGTACCGTGTAAAGGAACAGTCCAGCAGGCATCAGCTGTGCAGCTGAGTGATCATAAGGTCCAGTGAACAGCAATAGAGAGCAGTTCGAATTGGTCCTTCAGCACAGCGAGCAGGAAGCACGGTTGTTGTTTGCTATGCTAGCGGGCCAGGGCTAGCAGATGGATCTTCGTGGTCATCGCAACTACAGACGATTACGTTGGCAGACCAGTTGTGATGGATCGGCAGGGCTCCGTGTCGACTCTAGGAGGTCCCGTCCGGTTGACAGAGAGGTAGATAGCCGGGAGATTTGGTTGCAGCTAGCTAGTTGCGATTATCCAGTGTTAAAGGTCCAGTGAATCAGTGATTCCGGCAGAAAATCCGATAGTTTCTGGGTTGATAATACAAAAAACAGGCTATTTACATGGACACACAAGAGAACACGACCGCACTGCTACGTTATATTGGATCAGAGATGAGATAGACTATTGTACTATTCTGAACCAAAATATAAATGTAACATGTAAAGTGTTGGTCCCATGTTTCATGAGCTGACATAAAAGATCCCCTAAATTTTCCATACGCACATAAAGCTTATCTCTCTCCAATTTTAGTGAGCATTTCTCCTTTGCAAGATAATTCAACCACCTGACAGGTGTGGCTTATCAAGAAGCTGATTAAATAGCATGATCATTACATAAAGAAGCAAAAAGAAACGTCCCTTTTTTAGGACCCTGTCTTTCAAAGATCATTCGTAAAAATCAAAATAACTTCACAGATCTTCACTGTAAAGGGTTTAAACACTGTTTCCCATGCTTGTTCAATGAACCATAAACAATTAATGAACATGCACCTGTGGAACGGTCGTTAAGACACTAACAGCTTACAGACGGTAGGCAATTAAGGTCACAGTTATGAAAACTTAGGACACTAAAGAGGCCTTTCTACTGACTCTGAAAAACACCAAAAGAAAGATGCCTGTGGTCCCTGCTCATCTGCGTGAACGTGCCTTAGGCATGCTGCAAGGAGGCATGAGGACTGCAGATGTGGCCAGGGCACCTAAGACAGTGCTACAGAGAGACAGGACGGACAGCTGATCGTCCTCGCAGTGGCAGACCACGTGTAACAACACCTGCACAGGATCGGTACATCCGACCATCACACCTGCGGGACAGGTACAGGATGGCAACAACAACTGCCCTAGTTACACCAGGAACGCACAATCCCTCCATCAGTGCTCAGACTGTCTGCAATAGGCTGAGAGAGGCTGGACTAAGGGCTTGTAGGCCTGTTGTAAGGGAGGTCCTCAGCAGACATCACCGGCAACAACCCCACCGTCGCTGGACCAGACAGGACTAGCAAAAGTGTTCTTCACTGATGAGTCGTGGTTTTTACATTTTTTACATTTTACGTCATTTAGCAGACGCTCTTATCCAGAGCGACTTACAGTTAGTGCATACATTATTCTTTTTTATACTGGCCCCCCGTGGGAATCGAACCCACAACCCTGGCGTTGCAAACGCCATGCTCTACCAACTGAGCTACCTCACTGCCGGCCATTCCCTCCCCTACCCTGGACGACGCTGGGCCAATTGTGCGCCGCCCCATTGGTCTCCCGGTTGCGGCCGGCTACAGCAGAGCCTGGATTCGAACCAGGATCTCTAGTGGCACAGCTAGCACTGCGATGCAGTGCCTTAGACTACTGCGCCACTCTGGAGTTTTGTCTCACCAGGGGTGATGGTCGGAGGAATGAGCGTTACACCAAGGCCTGTACTCTGGAGCGGGATCGATTTGGAGGTGGAGGGTCCGTCATGGTCTGGGGCGGTGTGTCACAGCATCATCGGACTGAGCTTATTGTCATTGCAGGCAATCTCAACGCTGTGCGTTACAGGGAAGACATCCTCCTCCCTCATGTGGTACCCTTCCTGCAGGCTCATCCTGACAATGCCACCAGCCATACTGCTCGTTCTATGCGTGATTTCCTGCAAGACAGGAATGTCAGTGTTCTGCCATGGCCAGCGAATAGCCCGGATCTCAATCCCATTGAGCACGTCTGGGACCTGTTGGATCGGAGGGTGAGGGCTATGGCCATTCCCCCCAGAAATGTCCGGAAACTTGCAGGTGCCTTGGTGGAAGAGTGGTAACATCTCACAGCAAGAACTGGCCAATCTGGTGCAGTCCATGAGGAGGAGATGCACTGGAGTACTTAATGCAGCTGGTGGCCACACCAGATATTGACTGTTACTTTTGATTTTGATCCCCACTTTGTTCAGGGACACATTATTCAATTTCTGTTAGTCACGTCTGTGGAACTTGTTCAGTTTATGTCTCAGTTGTTGAATCTTGTTATGTTCATACAAATATTTACACATGTTAAGTTTGCTGAAAATAAACGCAGTTGACAGTGAGAGGACGTTTCTTTTTTGCTGAGTTTAGGTACACATTGTGCTGGGGACAATAAAAGGCCACTCTAAAATGTGCAGTTTTGTCACACAACACAATGCCACAGATGTCTCAAGTTTTGATGGAGCATACAATTGGCATGCTGGCTGCAGGAATGTCCACCAGAGTTATTGCCAGAGAATTTAATGTTAATTTCTCATTTTAGAGAATTTGGCAGTACGTCCAACCGGCCAGTCCAGGACCTCCACATCCGGCTTCTTCACCTGCGGGATCATCTGAGACCAGCCACCCGGATAACTGATGAAACTGTGGGTTTGCACAACCATAGAATCTCTGCAAAAACTGTCAGCTCATCTGTGTGCTCGTCGTGCTCAACAGGGTCTTGACCTGACTGCCATTCGGCTTGTAACCAACTTCAGTGGGCAAACGCTCACCTTCGATGGCCACTGGCACACTGGAGAAGTGTGCTCTTTACAGATGAATCCTGGTTTCAACTGTACCTGGCAGATGGCTGACAGCGTGTATGGCGTTGTGAGGGCAAGCGGTTTGGTGATGTCAACGTTGTGAACAGTGTCCCATGGTATGGTGGGGTTATGGTATGGGCAGGCATAAGCTACGGACAATGAACACAATTGCATTTTATCAATGGCAATTTGAATGCACAGAGATACCGTGACGAGATCTTGAGGCCCATTGTTGTGCCATTCATCTGCCGCCATCACCTCATGTTTCAGCATGATAATGTCGCAAGGACCTGTACACAATTCCTGGAAGCTACAAATGTCCCAGTTCTTCCATGGCCTGCATACTCACCAGACATGCCACACATTGAGCATGTTTGGGAATCTCTGGATCGACGTGTATGACAGCTTGTTCCAGTTCCCGCCAATATCCAGCAACTTCGCACAGCCATTGCAGAGGAGTAGGACAACATTGCACAGGCCAAAATCAACTCCATGCGAAGGAGATGTGTCGCACTGCATGAGACAAATGGTGGTTACACCAGACACTGACTGGTTTTCTGATCCACGCCCCTACTTTTCTTTTTAAGGTCTCTGTGACCAACAGATGCATATCTGTATTCCCAGTCATGTGAAATCCATAGATTAGGGCCTAATGAATTTATTTCCATTGAATCATTTCCTTATATGAACTGTAACTTAGTAAAATATTTGAAATTGTTGCATGTTGCGTTTATAATTTTGTTCAGTGTAGGTGTTAGCGTATGCCTCCTCAGAATGACTAACTAGCAACCTTGACTCTTAAGAAGTGCACTGCATACAGTACCAGCAACACCACCAAGTTATAAGTGTGTGCAGTGCTCCAACGAAACTTTGAGCTCAGTATCAATTGCAGTTGACATAGGATCATTAGAAGATGTGCTGTGGCGATACTGGTTACACAGCCTGTAACCTAGCGGAAGTGTAATTTTACCTAGTACTGTAGCTAGCAACCCTGTCCCTGCTCCTCTCCAAATGACAGTTTCCATGTCTCTCGCCATGAATAAAAGATCTATGAGCTGTGGGTCTGGGTCTATACAGCACATGGCTCAGCCACGACCACAACACTCCTGTCACAAGAAGTTCGTTAAGGTCTGGTCTGCATACAGGACGGAGAAACTGCTTGAGATTTTAGTTTAGAAGAACTATGCCGTGTGTATGATAAGCTATAATGGTGAACTGCTCGCTTATGGGCGGTTCCATGGGAAGGTCAACCTGAGCTTGCCCAAATAAAGTCAGTAATTTCCAAATGAAACAACGTTCATAATTTACCTAGAAAACATTAGGAACACCTGCTCTTTCCATGACAGACTGACCAGGTGAATCCAGGTGAAAGCTATGTTCCCTTATTGATGTCAACTATTAAATCCACTTCAATCAGCATAGATAAAGGGGAGGAGATAGGTTAAAGAAGGATTTTTAAGCCGAGACAATTGAGACATGGATTGTGTATGGTCAAGACAAAATATTTAAGTGCCTTTGAACAGGCTATGGTAGTTGGTGCCAGGCGCACCGGTATGAGTGTGTCAAGATCTACAATGCTGCTGGATTTTTCACGTTTAACAGTTTCCCGTTGGGCGGTATCCAGATTTTCATATTGTCATACCGTCCTTCTCGATTTACAGTATTACCGGCATAGCACACAAGGGGCGCAAGAAATGCAAGAAAAGCCCATTGGGCCTCTATTACCAGAATGCTAACAAAATTAGCACAAACTAATAGCGAAATCACAGACGCTGTTAGCTAAATGCTAACGAGCAAAAATGAACATAAACTAATAGCAAAGACAGGCAAATCCAGCTCATAAAGTTATACAAGCATAGCTAGTAGCTACTGAATGTCATTTTCGGTAAGTGTGGACATTTACAAGCGAAAGTGAATGAGAAATTGTGCAAATGAACAAACTTGTGATGCATGCTTTTCTGAAGGAAGAGCAGCATGTGTACACGGTGCAGATGGGAAGAGCGGAGGAGAAAAACAAATGCTAGTCGGAAGCATAGGGAACAAATGGCAGCTGTACAGATAACTCCTCCAGAGCTCTTGGACTTCTGGTAGAAAGCCATTATAAGATATCTGATTTCAAACTTTAGTACTGAACTGCATACAAGTGTAACTTCATCACCTCATGTGCGCTGCACAACAGAGACTCGCCGATAGATATAGAGTGCTATGGACTCACCTGCTCGCTTTCTCTCGTAGTGCCATTTACGAACAAACACGTGACTGGCTTAACTGCTCTGGGGAACTACGGTAAGCTTCATTATTTAAAATAATGTGACAGGTGAAATTAAGAACACAATCTGCTTTATCTCCTAAGGTATTGCACAAGTTGACTGCAGGTAATAACTTAAAAAGTATCTACAAATATTCAATTGTATTGAAAAACTTCAAAGAAATTGTTTTGACGGTATTGAAAAACCATCCTGTGGCTTTTTCCAAATACCCTGGTATATAGTACGTATAGAACCTCAGTGTATACATTAAAACTCGTTTTTCAACCACTCCACAAATTTCTTGTTAACAAACTATAGTTTTGACAAGTTGGTTAGGACATCTACTTTGTGCATGACACAAGTAATTTTTCCAACAATTGTTTACAGACAGATTATTTCACTTATAATTCACTGTATCACAATTCCTGTGGGTCAGAAGTTTACATACACTAAGTTGACGGTGCCTTTAAACAGCTTGGAAAATTACAGAAAATGATGTCATGGCTTTAGAAGCTTCAGATAGGCTAATTGACATAATTTGAGTCAATTGGAGGTGTACCTGTGGATGCATTTCAAGGCCTACCTTCAAACTCAGTGCCTCTTTGCTTGACATCATGGGAAAATCAAAAGAAATCAGCCAAGACCTCAGAAAAAAATGATAGACCTCCACAAGTCTGGTTCATCCTTGGGAGCAATTTCCAAACGCCTGAAGGTACCACGATCATAGTACGCAAGTATAAACACCATGGAACCACGCAGCCGTCATACCGCTCAGTCTCAGATGAACGTACTTTGGTGCGAAAAGTGCAAATCAATCCCAGAACAACAGCAAAGGACCTTGTGAAGATGCTGGAGGAAACAGGTACAAAAGTATCTATAGCCACAGTAAAGACGAGTCCTATATCGACATAAACTGAAAGGCCGCTCAGCAAGGAAGAAACCACTGCTCCAAAACCGCCATAAAAAAAGCAAGACTACGGTTTGTAACTGCACATTGGGACAAAGATCGAACTTTTTGGAGAAATGTCCTCTGGTCTGATGAAACAAAAATAGAACTGTTTGGCCATAATGACTATCGTTATGTTTGGAGGAAAAAGGGGGTAGCTTGCAAGCCGAAGAACATCATCCCAACCGTGAAGCACGGGGGTGGCAGCATCATGCTGTGTGGGTGCTTTGCTGCAGGAGGAACTGGTGCACTTCACAAAATACATGACATCATGAGGAAGGAAAATTATGTGGATATATTGAAGCAACATCTCAAGACATCAGTCAGGAAGTTAAAGCTTAGTCGCAAATGGGTCTTCCAAATGGACAATGACCCCAAGCATACTTCCGAAGTTGTGGCAAAATGGCTTAAGGACAACAAAGTCAAGGTATTGGAGTGGCCATCACAAAGCCCTGAACTCAGCCTATAGAAAATGTGTAGGCAGAACTGAAAATGCGTGTGCGAGCAAGGAGGCCTACAAACCTGACTCAGTTACACCAGCTCTGTCAGGAGGAATGGGCCAAAATTCACCCAACTTATTGTGGGAAGCTTGTGGAAGGCTACCCAAAGTGTTTGACCCAAGTTAAACAATTTAAACGCAATGCTACCAAATACTAATTGAGTGTATGGTCCCCTGTAGCTCAGTTGGTAGAGCATGGCGCTTGCAACGCCAGGGTTGTGGGTTCGTTTCCCACGGGGGGCCAGTATGAAAAAGTATGCTCTCACTAACTGTAAGTCGCTCTGGATAAGAGCGTCTGCTAAATGACTAAAATGTAAACTTCTGACCCACTGGGAATGTGATGAAATAAATAAAAGCTGAAATAAATCATTCTCTCTACTATTCTGACATTTCACATTCTTAAAATAAAGTGGTGATCCTAACTGACCTAAGACAGGGAATTTTTACTAGGATTAAATGTTAGGAATTGTGAAAAACTGAGTTTAAATGTATTTGGCTAAGGTGTATGCAAACCTCCGACTTCAACTGTATGTTGGAGTTCAGGCTTTTTTTGAAAAGTTTAAGTAGGAAATTGCATGAATTTGGACCATTAGAGAGTTGTTGGCCAAGTCTCAAAACAGGTTTATCAGTAAATCATATTACATGGCTTTTAGAAAGGGCTCACAAAGCTTGTTTTCCCACTCACAGCTCTCCCCCAATACTAGTTGTGAACATGAGATGTTAATGAAGTAATACAAACAAATTGAAGTGTCTTGAATTTTGTTTGTGTGTTCTACAGTCTTGTAAAGATAGGGGCATGACTAGGACAGACAATGAATGTAACATCCATACAGGGCCGGCTCCAGGCAAAAGCGACATAAGGAACTCAGTCGGGGAGAGCTAGAATAGTAGAATACACAAGGGGCAATTTCGAAATTTGGTTGTACATCAGCAGTTTTTCTATTGCTATGTTAGTCACTGACAGTCACTCAATTAGCCATGTCAGCTAACAATTCTTAGATTGGTAAATTAGTCTAGCCAGCTATCTAAACTTGTAGTAATCATGGCTGAATACCGACTGGCCACGAAGGGCATGTGCACAGGGGCCCTGAACTCCAGGGGGCCCTTATTGACATTGTTAGTCACTCTCACTCATATCATTAACATGGCATAAGTCTTGGCAAAAAGTATACAATTGAAGGAATTTTGCTTTAACACTAGAACCGCTAAAGCAGTCATTTTGACTGCTTATGGTTATTTTAATTTTTATTACTCTGCCATTTTTTTACTCGTGCCCTCCTCCGTCGTTGACTTTTCCTAAATAAGTCTATGCAACACACTGCCGTAGTTAGAATCTTAATATCACAAACAGAACTGGAGTTATAACCAGTTTTAGGAGGGCATGTCATTTTTTTGAATGGTTTCCCCCCCATTGCCCCTCCTTCTCCCAACATTTTTACATTTTAGTCATTTAGCAGACGCTCTTATCCAGAGCGACTTACAGTTAGTGAGTGCATACATTTTCATACTGGCCCCCCGTGGGAATCGAACCCACAACCCTGCCGTTGCAAGCGCCATGCTCTACCAACTGAGCAACACGGGACCCTGCACAACAGTAGGCCCTGCTCCACTTCTTCTACCGACAGTTGAAAGTGCAGTGCCCAGCTGATAATCCCCCCAGACAATTGCCTCGAAACTGAACCGAAACTATACCGAAACTAATTTCACACATAACAGATTAAATAAATTAAGTAAAGTATGATGGGGAGAATGGGTGAGTTGATGATCAAGGGGAAGTGAAAGAAGCAATAATTATGTAATCACAGGGCGGGCCATTCTATGGTATTGTACTGTATTATAGGCCTAATCTTATAATGGTATGTACCCTATATCAGTTCACCGAATCAAAGCAGTCATATCAGTCTACTCTGGCCTATTTTGAGTAGGTTACACAGAGAGTGTGCGTAATTGTACATGCTGAATGGCTTTCAATCTCTGGGAAAATATCCACATCGGGCAACAGGCGCGAGTGTCGGACAATGTGGTGATGAGGCTTGTGGAACCTTATGTTGGTAAGGGGAGCAATGTCACCATGAACAATTTCTTCACTTCACTGTCATTGGCAAACAAGTTGCTTGCAAAGAAAAGTCTGGCCTGCACCATTAACAAAGTGAGACGGGAGCTCCCTCCCTCTGCACAAAATAAGGCACCTGCACAGCTGTTGTACAATGGTGCTGAAGAATGACAAGATAATGGGACACAATCAAGAGAAAACCATATACTATTACGCACTACAACCAAACAAAGGTATGTCAACGTGTGTCACGCAGGTGAAAGTTACGAAAATTATGTCAGCTCTTAGGACAGGGGTGGGCAAACCTTTTGGCTCAAGGGCCACATTGAGTTTTT